AGTCTGAGTTTTTTCAGGAAAATAACTCAGTCTTTCCTGAACAGAATCCTGCGTTTTCTGAGGGGTAACCTAGCTCAACCCTAACCTGGTTAATAAAGTCCTGTGACCTGGTCTTTAGGTCAAACGGAATTAACCCTAGGTTTTTATGGAAACCCTAACTGAAGTTGCAGCTGCTATATATTCAACAGAGCTGCTGTTTTTCAAGGCATCCCTTTTTATTGATCAGAAGATCATTTGTAATCTGTATAGGTTTGATTATTGTACTCCAAGCAATTATCATTGTGATAAGTGACTTGGAATAGGTTTCTAATTGTAAGGGTTGTGTAGCACTCAAAGCTTTGAAGCAAGAGTGTTTGAATGTTCCTTGACTAAAGCTGTGAAGCAGAGTCAAGTTAGCTGTGTGCATCACTCAAAGCTGTGAAGCAAGAGTGATTGTGTTGCTTGATTAAAAAGCTGTGAAGCTTAATCAAGTGTTTGTTTTTGAAGAGTGTCTTCATCAATTCTTAAGTCAAATTGGTTTAGGTATCACTGCTGTGATTGAGGGGGAGTGAGTAGGAACTCAGGTTTAAGTTGTACTTAGATTGGAATTGCATTGGGTAGGTCTTAAGTGAAGGAGATAAACTGGTTGGTTTATTCCTGAATTAACATCTCTTATAGTGGATTTCCTCCCTAGCTTGGTAGCCCCCAGAGTAGGTGTTGTTGCACACTGAACTGGGTAAACAATTGACTGTGTTCTTTATTGCTTTTGTATTTACTGTCATATAGTAAGTCAGATACGGTGTCATAACATTGAACGTGACATTGAGTATCTGCAGCCAGAATTTCAATTGGTATCAGAGCAGGCACCCTGCCTGTATTACTGGGTGAGATCTAGGGATATCACTTTCTGGCACTATGGACAAAGAAGGAGTTTTTGGAAATAGACCACCCATTCTGGATGGAACTAATTATGACTACTGGAAACCTCGTATGATTGCCTTCCTAAAATCTCTGGACAAAAAGGCTTGGAGAGCTGCTGACAAAGGTTGGATTCATCCCACCATAACTGAGAAAGATGGGACAATCAGTCTGAAGCCTGAGGAAGATTGGAGTAAAGAAGAAGATGAGTTAGCTCTGGGAAATTCAAAAGCTTTAAATGCCTTGTTCAATGGAATTGATAGAAACATTTTCAGACTAGTACATCAATATGAACTGGCCAAGGAAGTTTGGGACACTCTCAAAACTACTCATGAGGGCACTTCCAAAGTAAAAATGTCAAGGCTTTAGATGTTGACCACCAAGTTTGAGAATCTAAAAATGATGGAAGATGAAACCATTCATGAGTTTCACATGAACATCTTGGAGATTGCCAACACCTCAGGAGCACTGGGAGAAAAGATGTCAGAAGAAAAACTGGTAAGGAAGATTCTCAGATCCTTGCCTAAAAGATTTGCAATGAAGGTAACTGCCATAGAGGAAGCCCAGGACATCAGCAAGTTGAAAGTGGATGAACTTATTGGGTCTCTTCAGACTTTTGAGATGGGGATCACTGATAATGGTGACAAGAAGAACAAAAGCATAGTACTTGTATCCAACACTGATGTTGAAAACAAGGAGGATGAAGAAGAAAATATATCAGAAGCTATTGCCATGCTTGGAAGACAGTTCAACAAACTCATCAAAAGAATGGATCCAAAGTCAAGGTCTAATGTTCATAACATTCCCTCTGACATTGACAGTTCCAGCAGAAGACCAAGGTCAGAAGATAAGGGAAACCAAGGCAGAGGTATTCAATGCCATGGATGTGAAGGATATGGACATATTCGAGCTGAATGTCCTACCTTTCTTAAGAAACAAAAGAAAGGAATGACTGTTACTTGGTCTGACTATGATTCAGAAAGTAATTCTGAAGAAGAATCTGCCAAACTAGTTACTGCTCTAACTAGTGTTTGTACTTCTGAAAGTGACACTAGTGATGAAGAAGTGACATTTGAAGAACTGGCTGATACCTACAAGAAATTGTGTATCAGAAGTGCTGAAGTCTGTGTGCAGAATGAGAAACAATCAAAACTCATTATAAAGCTGGAGGCGGAAAAAAGAGCAGATCTTGAAACTATAAGTCAACTAGAAGGGGAAGTTCAATTACTGAACTCACAACTGAACCAAATGACAAAATCTGTCAAGATGTTGACCAATGGATCAGATAAATTGGAAGAGATCCTACAAGTGGGACAAAATGTGGGAAACAAATCTGGTCTAGGATTTGTGGAAGCTAAGAAACCTGGTGCAGACAAGAAGATCAGGCATGTTAAACAATTGTCAAAGCAGATGTCTCAACACAACTCTCAACATCAGAAATACATGAAGAAAAAATACCAAAGATGGAGATGTCATCATTGTGGGAGGTATGGACACATAAAGCCCTTCTGCTTCAAATTGCATGGATACCCTAATCAAAACTCTGGTGCTAAACCTAAGCCAAAAAGGGTACCACATACTCCTCATTGGAAGAAAAAGGCTACTGCCCTGATAGCCCATACTTCCCTGAGAGTGTCTGCAAAGGAAGGCTGGTACTTTGACAGTGGATGTTCCAGACACATGACTGGATTCAAAAATCTCCTCAATAATGTTATGCCTCACACCACCAGTTTTGTGACCTTTGGAGATGGTGCTAAAGGTAAAGTCAAAGGAGTTGGTAATTTGGACTGTCCTGGAGTTCCAAGTCTGAATAAAGTACTGCTGGTAAAAGGGTTGACTGCTAATCTCATTAGTATTAGTCAATTATGTGATCTAGGATTCAAGGTCAACTTCTCAAGATCTGAATGTCTAGTAATTAATGAAAAACTAGAAGTTGTAATGAGAGGAATCAGATCCAAAGATAACTGCTACTTATGGCAGCCTGAGAACACTGATATCTCCACTGTGTGTCCAATCATCAAAGAAGAAAAAGAGATGAAACTGTGGCAGCATAAGCTTGGTCTCCTTCATCTAAGAAGAATGAAAAGAGCTATTTCTATGGAAGCTGTCAGAAGAACTCCAAAACTACAGATTGATAATATCTGTGATGTGGCAAATAAACTTGAAGAAGGATGTGTTGTCAGAACCTTAAGTCATCTTGACAAGGATGTTGGAAATAACAAGTCTAATAAATTATGTTCTCAAAACATCTGGTCAAAACAGATGCTCCCTGAGTACAATGTTACACAAGATGTTGTGACATTGTGTTGTGACAATCTGAAAACAATCAACATTTCCTTGAACCCTATTGACTTTGAAGAGAAGAAGTCATTTAAACTGGAACATAGTTTCTCTAAGCTTCAGCTGACTGATTCTTCTACCAAGGCTCTTGTTGGAAATAAACTTGAAAATTTGAGGGGCAGGTTGGGTATTCACCAACATAAGAAATTATAGCAATTAATTTTGCTTAAAACAAAGGTTGAAGGAATTAACTTTATTAAGTCTATCGTTAGTGGGTTAATCATATACTTTCACAATTCCTTCAAAATCTTTAAGAAGTTGAAGAGACTCCCTTTTACCCCCTACCTCTCTCGTCCTTGCAACCTGTTTCCTCCTCTCAATCAAAGATTTTTCTCAAACTGCTACCATTACTCAAAGTCAATCAAAATGTCTCAGACATCGTCTTCAACCATGGCGACTTCGTCATCCTCATCATCGTCATCATCTGACCAAGATTCTAGGGCAATCACCACATGCATAGAATCTGAAGTTCTTGAGGTCACTCCTCTCAGAGAGATGGCAACTGATCCAGCCAAAGTCAAAAAGCTCAGAACCAGACATGCAGGAAGAGCTCAAGCTACAGCCTCTGGTAATTCTTCTCATCCTTCTTCTTCTGTGCCTAATAGAGAAGGATCAGTTCAAGTTCACCAAGCTATTGCTAGGCTGGTTACTAGTATACTGAGTGGCAACCAATCTGTACCGGGGATTTCTGTCCCTTTAAATCAATCAGAAAGTCCAAATGTGGAAGTTTCTGAAAATGTAGATGTCACTGAGAATGTTGTGACACAAAAAGACAACATTCAGAACCCTTCAGAAAAGGCTGCTGATCCACCTATCATTGATGTGGATGAGGATTACTCAGATAATGATCTGATTGCTAATGTGAACCCTAGCATAGCTAGGAGATTGATGAAAAGAAAGAGTAGTCAGAATGATAAACCTAATGCTAAGAAATCCAAGGCTGAAGGCATGGCTGAGAAAAGTATTCAGACAAAAGGGAAGAAGGCCCAGGTGCATACTGCTAGACAACCAATCTCTAAGAAGAGAAAAGAACTTGAATCTTCTGATTCTGATGAGGAATCAAAATTTGAGATTGATATTGAAGAAACTCCTATCAGAAGGAAGCTCCCCTCCAGCAAAATTGCTAGAGTGCCTGAAGTGCCAACAGACAACATCTCTTTTCATCATCCTGACAATGCAAACAGATGGAAGTATGTTTGCTTAAAGAGAATAGCCTTAGAGAGAGAACTCAACAATGATGCCTTGGAGTGCAAAGACATCATGGACCTGATCAAGAATGCTGGACTAATGAAGACAGTGATAAAGTTGACGTATTCAAAAAAATAATAATAATAATAATAATAATCATAATAATAATAATAATAATAATAATAATAATAATAAATAATAATAATAATAATAATACTAATAATAATAATAATAATAAATAATAATAATAATAATAATAATAAATAATAATAATAATAATAATAATAATAATAATAATAATAAATAATACTAATAATAATAATAATAATAATAAATAATACTAATAATAATAATATAAAAAACTTCCACCACAAACCATTTTTAAGAGTACAATAATAATAAACCGGCACCATTAAAGCAATTTGGTTTAGTCTAGTAATCATAAATCGTGCAGCAATTTTTTGTGTTCTACTACGAATTAAAGAAAAAAGAAAATAGCAGAAGACAACAACTTCTTGACCGGCATGCGCCTCTCCGTAAAGCTCTATTTTGAATCTTGTTCATCACAAACTTGCTCAGACAAGCAAACTCAAAAACGGTATCTTATTAGTTTCATTCCAAGCTTCTACAGATTCAGAAGCCACAAAATTCTGATCATCAACAGCATCGCCATCACCATCACCATCACCGCCACAGACCTCCTCAGATACATCACTTGCAAACTTAGAAACAGTATTCCCATTTTCGTTCAAAGCATTTCCAAGAAAAACAATAAAACCACCAGGACACTCCAACCTCTTAATCTTGTTAAAGAACTTTAAAACGTTCTCTCTTCTAATAGGATCATTCAAGTACTTAAGAAGGTGACGCTCCTTCACAATGCCACCAAATGGCTTAACCACCTTCTCAAATCCTAACTCGTAAAGTTCTGGTACAGAAGTTATCCCTTTAGATCTACAATCTTCTTGGTAAAGCTGATATGCCTCAATTCTCAATTCATCTATAGGAAGCTCTTCGTATTCATAAATAGGAGCTAACTTTGTCTTCAAATCAACACATTCTCTCTCCAGCTCTATTTGACGCATCTTTAATTCATGGATCTTGCGCTTAATTTGTTTGTGTTCTCGGATACGAGAAGTAGTATAATCAACAAGCTCTCTTGCAAAGGAAACATCAGCTTTTGACAATTCCTTCTTCTTTTCGAATTTCTTCTTTAATATTCTTCTTCTTACACCCTTCATAACTTTCCTACCTTCTTTATCCTTCTGCAGCCATTCCATATGGTCTATAAACTGGTTGAAATCATTCCTAGTTGTTAATAGATTAGTTGCATTGGAAAGATGCCTCAACTCGTCAAGATCTGTGATGCAAGAAATTGGTTTGATAAACTCGAGCAAGTCCTCTTCGGTGTAGCCATGCGTATAGATATTTTTAATGGTAAACAGATCGGAAGGGAAACCGATTTCAATGAGCGAGGAACATGCAGCATTGACCCTCGCTTGCCGCTCAACACGTGATTCCACTAAGCGGCCGCCAACAGAAGATATGAATTGAACCATAGATGGAGAGTGATCTGTGCTGCCTACAAAAGAGATAAAATTGAACAATATAAAATGAATTCTTGTTGATTGAAATCAAAGTATCACTTATAAATAACTCAATTAGCTTGATTTACTAATCTTGCAAAATGTGTAAATAGAATACAAAATATTTAAGAGAAAATGATAAGCAACTGATTTTTTTCTTATTTGCCAATCCTCCGTGTGACTTGGTATCCGTATCTATTTCCACCATTGAATCACAATCCTTATCAATGGTTGTGGATTGATTGTTTTACATTGTGAAACCCTTGTTCCATTTGGTGCCACCTAGCCTCTTCAAACCCAAATTACTTGTCATACTTTGTGGAATGGGAAACAAATTAATTTTTGACTAATTCTTAAGGGAATAGATTCTCTGCGGTTTACATTTTCTGAAATGAAATTTGAACCGTTCATTCAATTACATAGTTGTAATTATCGAAATTTTTTAAAAATTTATACACATGATTTACTGAATATATTAGAGTATACAAACTTAAGGCCAAACACAATTTTTTAAGAGTATGAACATGATACACTTCTTGTTAAAGCAATGACGCGATGAACAAACAAAATTGTTTTCATTCATGAAAGTGATGAAAGAATGAAAAGTTTCATTATTGAACATTACAATTGAAATATTCGGAAAGATCAAAGAGAAAGTTAGTTATCAACTCTTACTAATTTGAGATAAACTAAAAACTTACTAGATACTAACAAACCACAAAGCTAGCTAGCTTATTATAATGTAAAGATGTTACTTGGATAGCAAGTAACAATAATGTTTAGCATCTTCCGTCAAGTTGGATATACATATTGTCATATTTTAATTTTTACTTTTAAGATCTCACTTATTAATCATTTGCATTTCATCAAGATCACAAACATGATATCCTCCTAATTTTTGAGTTTGTCTTGTGGGAGAGATCATCAAGTATCCTTGTATTTTTTTTTTTGCTTTTGTGTTTTATACTTTACTAACTCTTATTCAAAATACAAAAATATGTCTTGTTTTGTTTTATTTTTGTGCAAGGTAGGGTTGTCCAATCAAAGGATCAAGTGAAATTGCTGAATTAGGGTTTTAGTTCTCAAGCTCAAGGTTTAATCAACAAGTGGTCCACCAAAACTTGTTCTTCAAAGCATAACCTATATAGTCTTAGGTCTTTTTCGCCTCAAACTTCATTCAACATGGTTGGATCAAAAGAAGTTTAAGTTTGATGCAATATTTTTAAGTTGATTCAAGATGGGTCCATGTGTTTATTTTCATGCCCTTTTCTCATCAATTTCTCAAGCAAATATCAAGGATATTCAAAGGATATTCAAGCTTCATTCATTTTGTATTCAAATGATCAAGATTGAGCTCTTGGATGCAAGAAAAATCAAGAAAAGTAAAGTCAGAACATGGTTGTTGACCTAAAATTCAAGTATGACGTGTCATATGGTCCAAGGAGCACAACTTCTTCATTTATCAATATTTTTTAGGCCTTCTTAGAGCCAAATGTCCTTTTTGATGTCCTATACAACTTTTCTTCAAGGGTTAAATGCCAATTTAGCCTGTAAGTCCATCAAATTTTGAAATGTCTCTAAGTCCATTTATGCACAAAATCTAGTTCATGACATGTTTAACCTAATGCTAGACCAGGTTCCTTCTCACAGCCCTACTATCCCGGCTTTCATGTCGAAGTAACCCTACTATCCAGGTTCTTTCTCACAACCCTATTATCCAGGCTTTCATATCGAAGTAACCCTACTATCTAGGTTCCTTCTCACAGCCCTACTATCCCGACTTTCATATCGAAGTAACCCTACTATCCAGGTTCCTTCTCATAGCCCTACTATCTAGGCTTTCATATCGAAGTAACCCTACTATCCAGGTTCCTTCTCATAACCTTACTATCCAGGTCCCTTCTCCCTTATCTCCAGACAGCAGTCCACAACACTGTAAGACCTGGACCTAATCAAACACGATTGGTTTCGCATTTCCCCAGTAAGTCGTGGTGCAGCTTGTACCCTGACCAGGCATGCAGTTCACTTCCGCTTCCTCAAGCATGAATTATTTCCCCCAGCAGAGTAACTGACAACTGAAGCTCCTAAGATTCTATTTCTCCCAAGACAAACACCAACATTCCTCAGCAGATTCTTCATCAACAACAGCAACAGGGACTCTCGTCAAAGGAATATCTCAGGAAATCCACATTCTCTAGATGGCATCTTTAAGCCCATCTCCGACAATTCTCCGTCGCATCTAGGATGGCATCTTTAAGCCCATCTCCGGCAATCTTCCATAATTGACCTCTAAATAGCATTTGTAAGCTCATTCCCGATATCACAAATCAAGTGCCACTTCATGCGAGTGCAAATTTCTGGGCACTCTAGTGTTCGATCATCTTCCACCTTCAGATCACGAAAGGCAGAGCAGCCAATCTACATCTTCGGGTTTAAGAAGATTGAACAGGGGTAGCTATTGTACCCCAAAATTTTCCCTCCCATTTTACTCAACCAATGTCAATTGGGGTCCCCAAGTTTCTCATTGAAGTCCAAGAGTTGACCAGACAAACTCTCTCCTAAGGCAGTATACCTCAAATTAGGGTTTTCGTTTTCATCAAGACGCGTGAACCACAAAGGAATCAAATGCTTTCCAAGGTCCTAATATGTTCCCAAGATCATCCATGCCAAGTTTCAGGCCTTGCATAAGAAGTTTGCTCAGTCAACTGTCCAGATACTAGAGAATCGACTATACTAGGTCAAGAGTCAAATGTGGCCCACATACAGTCAAACCTCAAGATTTTTGGTCAACATCAACATTTTGAAATGACGTTCATCATTTGATCAAGGGTTGATCATGATTCCCCAAGGAATGCTCCAAATTCATCAAAACCCAAAAGTTGCTAAATTAGGGTTTTTTAGGAAAAGTCAACCAAACTTTGACCAAGCATAACTTCTTCATACTTTATCAGAAATTTTCCATCCAAGGCTCATTTTGAAGAGGATGCAATTCCGTACAATTCATCTTCAACCCACAAGTTCAAAATATGCACTCATCAAAAGATATGAATTTCTATGTTATAGGTCCTTTTGAAAAGTCAACAAAAATACCTTTTGGGTCAAAGCTTATTACATGAACATGGAAGACCCAATTGAAATGAAACAAAAAGGGTTGGTTAGGGGATATCCTAAGCTTTCTAAAAAGTCCAAGAACACCATCCTAGGGTCAAAATTGAGAGAGATGTGCATTGTCAAAGTTGGCAATTTTTGGAAAATTGTCAAAAGTCAACATTGATCAAATTTTCATTTTTTCCAAAGGGGCCCATGTTTTCTTGTTTGAAACATGATTCTAATAGGACCCACAACCCCTGAGCTTTTCCACCTATTATTCTATTATTTTTATTATTTATTTTGATTTTATTTCATTTAAATCAAAACAAATCAATATAAAATAGTAAAATAATGAAATAAAATCAAATCCTTGATTTTTTATGCACATTTTGAGTCCATGTACAACTAGCATGCCAACCAATTCGTGCAAAGTGGATTTGGATTGAAAAAGATTGGATTGAAGCTTGTTTTAGAAATATATCATACAAGAGCAAATCAAATCCAATTTCCATTATTTCTCAAGATTCATGTCAATTTTATTGACCTAATTCAGTCTACTATAAGTGCATAACAATTGCATATCAAAGGCACAAGGGTTGCAGTCGCGAAAACGCCAAAAGCAAGCTCAAATTTTTTGACAAAAAGTGAGGTTCAAATTCTGGGATAGAGGGTTATTCAAGGCGATTAAAAGCCATAAATCAATTCCTTGGCATCTCAGGAAGCATTCCCAACCATTTGTAGGCTCCAAAACATCAAGAATCCTCGCATAGAAGTATCACAGTTTGCATCCCAAACTCAAATTCAATTTCTATGTTTTATGCATCATAAATCCATTTTATTCATATATCCTTGTTCATAACCGTATTTGCAAGCTTTCTATATCCTTTAATTGTACTAACAGTACAGGAATTGATACTTACCATTGTTAGGGTTTGGGTCACAATTTGGGTGTGATACGGTGGCCAGAACCGAGACTGTTTTTTAGGAATGCTAGTTTGTGTTTTGCGTTTATGTTCGCAAAATGTCGCGGTAAGCAAGAGTCGCCACCGACTTTTATTTTATCCAACAAGGAAAGGAAAAAATCATAGAAAAATTCCTTTTTCGAGATATTTCTGAGTACGGGGGGTAGATTATAGAAAGGGAAGGTATTAGCACCCTTTCAATCTGTAGTTCTCTACGGGCTCTTAGGTACTTGCTCATTATTTTCAAAATTGATTCTTTGTGTGTTTGAGTGATTTGAAAAGTTTTTGTTTGAACTTCGATTTAACTCTTGCTTCTGTCTTCAAGAGTGTAATGAAGTGTTTTTTGAAAACTTTGTTTGTAAAGGAGTGTAAGTGTGACAAAGTTTGTTTGGATTAAGCAAGTACTTAAGAACTAATCTACCTACTCGAAAAAAGAATCGTTATATGTTCGTTTCCTTTAGACAACGCTATCCCACTATTAGTGAGTAGGTAGAACCGTCGTTGGAGTTTGAGGGCTAATTCGAAAAGCGACGTACGGTCACTAAAGCAATGTTAGGACGTCTTAGTAGTAACCCTAATGTCTTAGATCAATTATTCGAGGCAACAATATTCGAGGCAACAATATCCGAGGCAACAATATCCGAGGCAACCTTTTCGAGGCAACTTTGATCTTTAGACAAAAGGACGACCACTAAAACATCCTATACTCAATGACCGTTTACCGAAGGAAACCAAGTGGGAGTGTACCCTAGGAGTGCGCATGTGCGAGTGATTCAATTTCAGATTATTTATCTTTGCACATTTTAGGGTTATCTAACTGTTTTAAAGTTTTACATACATTCTTGTCATGCATCCCTATATCATACATCTAACAGTTAAATATTTGCGGAATTTAAAGTGCGAAAATTAAACTACGCTATTACAAGGCTTCAGGTATTTACATAGCCAAAAACAAACCCTTCGAAAGTAAAGAGATAAATGAAAAGTAAAAGTCCTAATTAACTATTACAACTTGTGAGCAGTTACATCAGTATGGTAAATAATAAAACAATAAAGCGCGCGCGATGAAATTAAGATCGGGAAGAAATTAGGGTTTTGACCCTTCTAACCTAATCAAAAGAAAACTTGTTTTTTGTTGTTTTTAATTATTTTTAAG